GGCGGGGGGCGGGGGGCGGGGGGAGAGAAACATCGATGTGAGTGACACATCAACCGGTTGCCTCCCACAGGCACCCCAACTGGGGCTGGGGATTGAACTGCAACCAAGGTATGTGCCCTTCACCGGGAATCAAACCTGTGACCCTTCAGTCCGAGGCTCTAACTACTAAGAAAAACTGGCCAGAGCCATTATTATTAATATTATTTTTAGAGGAAACAGGCTCAGTGAGCCAGAGTAATTTTTTTTTTTATTGCTTAAAGCATTACAAAGGGTATTACATATGTGTCCTTTTTTTTTTTTTCCCCAGAGTAATTTTTTATAAAATGTTTTGTTTTCAGAGAGGAAGAGAGAGGGATAGAAACATCAATGAGAGACCATCATCGATTGGCTGCCTCCTGCATGCCCCCCACTTGGGATCAAGCCTACAACCCCGGGCATGTGCCCTGACTGGGAATCAAACTGTGACCTCCTGGTTCATGGGTCAACATTCAATCACTGAGCCACTCCAACCAGGGAAAAACCCTCTTGATGAGTGTCTTTCATAGCTTTACCATAATTAAAGGAATCAAGGTCTGAAGGAGCTAATTCTTTCTGAATGGCTTCTTAAATTGTTCGTCAAAGGTCGCTTATGGCACCTGATTACTTTTCAAAGGTACAATTTACTCTTACAATTGTAAACACTGCCTCCTTCAAATATTCAACAGATATTATCTACTTACTATGTGCCAGGGAGTGAACTATGTGCTGACAAAAGAAGTGAGAAATGGGGAGGGGGAAAGAGTTCCTGCTCTCCAACAGTTTACAGTCTAGGAAGGATACCAGATAAAATGAACATATTTCATAAAATCTAAGACACTTGATTTTAAGATGCACTCTGATCTGTTAAAATGTCAAAGCCTTAGAATCAATGAAATACAAGACTTCAATGTGATAAACACTGTAATAGTTATAGGAATAAGGCATGTACTGTTGAAGCATGTATAATTGCCCCTGCCTAGAAATTTTGAGGATCGGTTAATAGACGGCATATAGTTGAAGTTCTTTACATGTAGTAATTCATTTAATTCTTACCTAAGATAGGTATGAACTACTGTCATCATTTGAAAAATGAGAAAACAGGTGAGAAAGAAGTCATTTGTCCAAGGTTATGCATCTAGGACGTGATGCATATAATAACCCTGAGCAATCTAGCTCAAGCCCATAGTCAACCACAATGTGTTTGAATAAATGAATTCATGGGGTAGACAAGGGAAAGGCTTTCCTACCAGAGGGAACAGCCTACACAAAAGCAAGAAAACACAAAAAGACATACTATAGGAAGTGAGGGTGGCTGGATCATAAGGAATGTGAGCAGAGTGATGAGGCTGGAGAGGTAGATGGGGATCAGAATGTAAAGGGCTTTGTGTAATCTTTTTTTTTTTTTTTAATATATTTTGCTGGATCATAAGGAATGTGAGCAGAGTGATGAGGCTGGAGAGGTAGATGGGGATCAGAATGTAAAGGGCTTTGTGTAATCTTTTTTTTTTAAAATATATTTTATTGATTTCTTACAGAGAGGAAGGGAGAGGGATAGTTAGAAACATCGATGAGAGAGAAACATCGATCAGCCGCCTCCTGCACACCCCCACTGGGGATGTGCCAGCAACCAAGGTACATGCCCTTGACCGGAATCGAACCTGGGACCCTTGTCTGCAGGCCGGCGCTCTATCCACTGAGCCAGACCGGTTAGGGCGTGTGTAATCTTTGATAAACAGTTTTCAAAAAGAAGTTTTCTCCAAAGCCAGGTCCTTTCCACAAAATAGAATTTTAGATGAAATGCCAATATATAAAACAGGCAAAAGTGGAGCTACTAATTAGTGGCAAGGGCACTTCATTTTGGCTTCTTCCTGGGTTACATGGGACAGTTTGAAGATCACTAAAGAGCAGTAAGAATATGAGCTTGTGCAAGTTTGTCTTAATGGAAACAAACTTGCACAACTCCTGGCTCTACCACTTTCTAACTGGGGGAAACTTTGGACAATTACTTAATCCATATGGCTCTGCTCCCTCACGTGTAATATACCTCATTTGCAAGGAATGAACCAGTTAATGTTTGTAAAGCACATGCAATGGTGCCTGGCCCATAGGTATGTACTCATAAAAGTGGCAGTATGGTGGGTGGATTGAAAAAGCCTGAAAGACAATTTAGACTTTATGAGAGAGATGATGTGAGATATGTAGGATAAAATGGTAGGACTTGGTGACTGGCTACAGTGGGTGGTGTGAGAAATTTGCTGAGAATGTTAACTGGAAATTGGCAGGTTGCTAATGCAGAAATGGGGCTGATAGTAAATATTTACTATCTGCAAGTTTCCCATCAACAGGCATTATGTGTACTTCCAGGAACCTACAATCTGGGAGTTACACATGAATTTAAAAGATAAATAGCAATACAACAGCAGATGCTGTCTATTGTGTCAGAAGTAAAGGCATAGAGATCTGAGTTGGTCAGGCTTGAGCAGCACTGTCCAACACAATCTCATGCAAGACACAGATGCCATTTAAAATTTCTAGTGACACTTAAAAAAAATAGGTGAAATATTTTATGTAACCCAGCATATAAAAACGTAATTTCTTCATGTAGCCAAGTCTTAGAAATCTTACACTTATAGACATCTCAATTTGGACGAGCCATATTTCAAGTACTCACTAGCCCCATGTGGCTAGTGACTTCCATACCGGATAGTGCAAGATACAGGAAAATGTTCATATTGAAAGAGTAATGGAAGTTCTAGTTAGAGGCAAGGGTAAAACTGGAGGGCGTCTAGATTAAAGGAAGTGGGAAGCCTTTGAAAGATTGAGATAGAGCAGTTTTTAGTAAATTAATCTATTGGCGCTACATCAGATTAAGACTGGAGGTTGTCCTTAATGCCAGTCATTGTAGCAATATATCTTTCACCGAGTTTCTTCCTGTCAGAGTACTGATGGTACAGACTGCCTTCTCAAGCATGTACTTTTGTTCCTTGTCAAAATAACAGGTTTGCTAGTGGAATTTGGGAAATCGGGGCAGAGGTATGCAAATACTTCCCTTCAGATGACATGAGAGTAAGGCCCCATTTCTGTGTGGTGTCAGAGCAAGACTAAGCACTAAAAAAGGCCTTTTGATAATGTTTATGTAAATTGAGATTCAGCCAGAGTATCAACCATTGCAGATTGATGTGCCACAGGTATTATAAAGGATGACTCAGAGAACAAATTATTTAGATACTTCTAATAACATGTACCCAAACTGGATTCCTATCTTTTTTCTTTTTAAAATATAATTTTATTGATTTCAGAGGGAGATAGAAACATCAATGATGAGAATCAATTGGCCGCCTCCTGCACGCCCCCTACTGGGGATTGAGCCTGCAACCCAGGCCATGTGTCCTTGATTGGAATCGAACCTGGGACCCTTCAGTCCGCAGCTCTATCCACTGAGCCAAGCCAGCTAGGGCTGGATTCCTATCTTACTATTCTTCAAAATTTGAGAAGTCACTGCCCTTTTAAAATATGCCTTCAAACTTTAATGCTTTCCCAACTCCCTCACACTTCCTAAGGATCCATGCCAGCTAGGAACAAACACCAGACTGATTTGCTTACCACCTTCCTTACCTCATTACCTCATTAAACCTCAGCAAAGACAATTTACAGAATGCATCCTGCCTGTTGGCAGAATGGGAAAGTTATCTGAAAGCTCCAGAGGGCCCACAGGGCATAGCATCTTTTTTCGTTTTTAAAGAAATTCTATTATTCTTTTTTTTAAAAAATATATTTTATTGATTTTTCACAGAGAGGAAGGGAGAGGGATAGAGTTAGAAACATTGAGTGAGAAACATTGATCAGCTGCCTCCTGCACATGTCCCACTGGGGATGTGCCCGCAACCAAGGTACATGCCCTTGACCGGAATCGAACCTGGGACCTTTCACTCCACAGGCTGACGCTCTATCCACTGAGCCAAACCGGTGCTGGCAAAATTCTATTATTCTTTTTAAAAATATGTATTTTTATTGATTTCAGATAGGGAAAGAAACATCAACGATGACAGAGAATCATTAATTGGCTGCCTCCTGCACATTCCCTACTGGGGATCGAGCCCACAACCTGGGCATGTGCCCTTGACTGGAATCGAACTTGGGACCCTTCAGTCCGCAGGCTGACGCTCTATCCACTGAGTCAAACCTGCTAGGGCTAGCATCTTTTTCCAATTTAACATTTTTTAACAAATTCAGTCTTAATGGAAACAAACTTGCTCATAGAGTAAGCAAGAGGTGTATAAAATTCTCAGCTCACCAAGAGGACCAAAATCCTCCCCAACACTTCTTAACATTGTGAAACTAAAAGTCCCTCTGAGTACTGCCGTTGCAGGATTACATTAAGCTGTGGGTGGTTGAAGGACAAGACTCCTTTCTTCACCATCTTCAAATGGAGTATCACTTTGTCAAAACAAATCTGTTTCAACCTTAATACTTCCATGAAGATTAAACAATATACAAGAAAGTGCTTTGTAAACTATAATGGACAATGTAAGATTTTTATTGTTCGGCTCATCAGGTATGTTCTTGGCCCTCTTATGCAGGAACAGCTGGAGAAAATGGAAGAACAACAGACACAATTAAGAAACGGAGTGCAACTCCAGCAACAGAAGAACAAAGAGATGGAGCAGCTAAGGATCAGCCTTACTGAAGAGCTTTCAACTTATAAGTCAGTTTTTGCTGCTTACCCAAATCTCAACTAACACTGGCTGACGAGATGGATGGTGGGGAGGGCAGATGTTGCTCGAGGGAAATTTCACTCAACAGTGGGAGACAAAGGAAAACTGGGAAATTTTTTTTCATCCATGAACAGATGGAAAATGGCTCTCTCTCTTTTTTAAGGGCTATGCTACCCAAGAGCCCGGAACAGGCTAATACTCCCACTTCTCAGGCAGGTGGAATCGAGACACAGTCTCAAGGTGATCCTTGCGGGTACAAGAGTGGAGTTTGCATTTTACTTTCTTAACAATACTAATACCTTAAAAGAACTTAAGTGTGTGTCTAATGACAAATCATGTAGGGATAACACATACCTCCAAATTGCCTGGTTCAAGCATTCAGGGTTTATTTGGAATGCTTGTTTCTGATAGGACTAAAAAAAATATGCCCTAATTATCACCAGGAATTCTGTAACAGGATAAAATATCTAAGCTCTGCATTCTCCCACCTTACCCCACCTGCTATTCACAAAGTTTCCTTAGAATAGCAGAAGGTAGTTATGCTACCTAAATTCAAACTATGACAAAAGAGGCCAAGGCTGCAAAATTTATCTGTATAGAAAAGCTGAAGAGGTGTTGTTTATAAGTGGAGGAACAGGATTATTGCTTAGTATGTGAAACAAGCAACACACCTATCCATTAATTTCTCTATATACCAGTATGTTCTCATTTTTCACATTTTAGATTCTCTTGGATAAAGAGACTAAGAATAAAAAAGGTCTGTCAAGTATATACTAGTTAGATGCCCATAAATTTTATTCTCAATTTCCTAGTTCATCTTACAGCTTGGATACAAACTCACAAATGACTACTGTAACTAATGCTTTTCCTAACTCACTAGGACTTTCTTTTACTGTTTTTTCCAGGCATAACAGATTGCGCTTATTGTTTGGGAGATTACTAGAACCATGTAATTGAGGAAAATGATCTGCTAAACACCTTTGTGTGGATCAGATTAAAAGTACAATAGGGAAAAAGCAACGATTAATTCAAAGAAACAAAACTACAGAATTTCAGGCACTGTAATACCTGTGTAAATTTAACCTGGACAGAGAAAAATTTTAGCTAGCCCCTCCCATCACCATCACACATTCATTACTTTGCAAATAAGAATTACCCAAATATTTCATAGGGGAAAGTCAACCCTGATCATATGTGAGTCACAGTCTAGCAATCTCTCCTCCCAACAAAACCTACAATAAATTTCCTAAGTTCAGTCATAAACTTTATACTGCACTAGAGACCTGGTGCACAAAATTCGTGCACTGAGGGGGAGGGGTCAGGGAGGGGGTCCCTCTGCTTGGCCTGCACCCTCTCGCAGTCTGGGAGCCGGCAGTTGGACAACCTTAGCACTGCCGTGGAGGTGGAAGAGGCTCCTGCCACCACCACTGCTCTTGCCAGCCATAAGCCCAGCTTCTGGCTGAGCAGTGCTAGGGGGAGCACACTGACCACCAGGGGGCAGCTCCTGCGTTGAGTGTCTGCCCCTGGTGGTCAGTGTGCATCATAGTGATCGGTCATTCCACAGTTCGGTCGATTTACATGTTAGCCTTTTATTACATAGGATTATTTAAAGTTGCAGAAATAATAAATTTATTCTTTTTTTCTTTCAATCTTACAGGAGCTGTTTAGAAATGTATGGCCGAATCTGTAACCCAGAAACAACCAAAAAAGCTTCTTAACAAAGGATCACTTAAGTACCCTTTTCCAAACACAGGAGAGAGTGCCAGGGACTTGGCAAGCAATTCACCCTGGGGAAGACACAAATACTGGCTGACCTGTTTAAAAAGATTCTAGGCTGGCTGGAGGCAGAACACACCAGTCAGCTCTTAGCTGGATTCTATTTTAATTATATCTTAATAAAGTGTTAAGAAAAAAAAAAAAAAAAAAAAAAAAGCCTCCTGTCCCTCCTGTCCACCAGCAGCAAAGGATGAATATATGCACCCCTGCAGCCTTGTGCAGAATGAAACTTGCCTTGTTGTTGACCTAAACCAAAAACATTTTTTTTGGAGCACAGGTGGGGTCAAAAGGCAGCCAATTTTCATTATATGGGTTTATAATTTGAATTCTTTTGTGCCATGAGTGTTGGACTTTTAATGAATCCTTTTACAAAGTTTACTTTTTATGCTGACGCATAGTCTACTCTTGTGTCAAGATAATTTTCACTATACTCTAAAAGAACTTAGTTCCAGAAAAAAAGGAACTAAATTTGAATCTAAAGGTTAAGGATATTCAGATTTCCCTAAAGATCATGCCTCATGAAAATGATTTTTGGTGAGTAATCTACTCAGTTAAACTGAGTGATTGCAAAGAACCAGGCATTTTATCTGGTTATGGTATGTGGCTTTCAGCCTTTATTTCTCACTTCTAAGAACAGGTCCCAGTGAAAAACATACTGGGGAGATTCAACCTCTATATGAGAAAAGGTTCAAACACCTTTTCCAAATTTAAATTTTGCCTTAAAATCTTTCTGCCACACTGCCTTTGACATGCTTGAAAGACTTCAAAAAGATGTTATTTTATCAAAGACTAATCTGTACACCTATGATTCAATGTTTTGTGTCTTTCACTTTCCCTGTGAAGGAGTAAAACTGTTTTCTATAGCTCTGGGTCTATTATAATTAATTCTGCTCTTGGTAGTCAAAGACCACAGAAAATAACTGTCATCTGAAGAATTCTTCTAGAAGCCAGAGACTGGTGTTTGATAGATATTATATTATATACTAAATAAAGCCCATCAGCATTGGGTTATGTAGAAAAGCAATTTATTTCATTATAAGCACTTACACAGTTAGTCATAGAGAGTAACAGGCCTGTTAGTGAAACAGGTCACCCAAAACAGAGATGGTATCAAACTAGTGGTCAAGGACTAACTCCTAAAAAAAAAAAGCAACTCTTATCCAGGATTAATTTAATTTTAAAAACAAATACAAGCTATAGATTCACTCTTCTCAACTTAGCTGGACAGCTTACCTGTGGTATAACTGTCAGGTAAAAACATACATCTTTACAACTTGGTGGTCCCAAGTTTTTAAAAAAAACCATTTCACAGAAAGGAAAGAAATAATATGAAATCAGCTCAAGAAATACACTAACAAGCAAAAATATATGGAAAACAGGAACACATACTTTTGACTTAAGAAACGGAGGAGACTAGTCTACGTAGGAAATGTGCATCCTGGAAAGTCAGGTGTGAAGATTTTAGAGTAGGAAGTTATGACTCAAATCTCCCCTAATTCCTGAATAAAAACATCTTGCAGTACTTACACTTCATGGCTCACACACCTACCTCTCTTGGCTCTATTCCTTATTTACTTCTAGCCTTTACTTAAATGAGCCTGAAAAATGTGGGGATATGGCATACAGAGAAAAATAAAATAACCACACACAATATTCCCCTTTCAGTGGCTACTTTAGATCTTTGATACTAGAAAATTCCTGAAAAAAATTTAAATATTAAGTCTGTGGCTTTGCTGAATCAAGCCCCTCAGTTAATATTTAGAAAACACCCTTGGATTGGGTTAATAACATTGTTGATGGTACCTATTATAGAGGGATAGCTGAACAAAGTCTGTGTCTCAGAACCAGTGTTAAATCACTATCAGGGTTGAGAGGAAAAGGGCAGGCAGTCTAAAATTACAAGTGCAGATGAATCTAGGACCCCTGTCCTTCTGGATCCACACTTCCTTCAGGGTCTTCATCATTATAAATATTCTCTGCCTGTCCAAAAAACAAGAAAAAGAGAAAAGGGTATTTAGTAAACATGAACGCAAGTTCTTAAAGTTAAGGTTTCAAAAACAGATTAGGTCAGGAAAAGGTTATGGGTCATATAGTCTCTGTTGCAACTATTCAACTCTGCAGTTCTTGGATGACAGCAACCTAGACAATCTGCAAATGAATGGGTATGTCTGTGTTCCAATAAAAGCAGACAGCTGGCCCACAGGCCAACACCCTGGATTAGGACATTCCCACAAAACTTAAGTACGGTTACTGAATGTCTTGATAATCAACCTTCTTGAGTCTTTCAGTCAGACATCATTCATCATAGTAAAAAGCCCTGGCTGGTGTGGCCCAATAGGTTGAGTATAATCCTGTGCACTGGGAAGTGCACCAGAAATTGATTCTGGGTCGACCCTCGGTTGCAGGCTCAATCCCCAGTAGGCAATGGACATTTTTCTCTTTCCCTCTCCCTCTCCCTCTCAAATCACTAAAAATAAAAATAAAGTAAAAACACAAATGTTCACAGAATAATGAATAAATAAAATGATATATCTATACAATATTATTTGACAATAAAAAACCCCAGTCATGACCTAGCCGGTTTGGCTCAGTGGATAGAGCGTCGGCCTGTGGACTGAAAGGTCCCAGGTTTGATTCCAGTCAAGGGCACATGCCCAGGTTGTGGGCTTGATCCCCGTTGGGGGTGTGTGCAGGAGGCAGCTGATCAATGATTCTCTCATCACTGATGTTTCTATCTCTCTCTCCCTCTCCCTTCCCGATTAAAACAAACAAACAAAAAAACACATGCAAAAAAACCAGTCACATATTGTGATTTTATTTATATTAAATGTTCAGAATAGGCAAATCCATAGAGAAAGTAGATTGGTGGTTGCCTAGTGCTGGGTGGACTGGAGGAAAATGGGGAGTGATGGGTAATGGATATGGGTGGTTATGGGGCTTCTTTTTGGCATAACTGACTGGGGTACTGGTTGCATAATTCTGTGAATATACAAAAATCACTGAATTATGTAAAAAAAAAGAAAAAAGAAACCCCATCCCACCATCACTGTATGTTCCAAATCTTAATTTATAATTTTTTTAAAATGAAAAAATGCTCTTGGATATAAAAAACTCTACTTCTAGTTCTTGATGAAACATCTGTATACAAAGGCATAATGTTAATTACAGACACCACTTTCATTTAGACAAAATTTATTGTTCTTAGTTTAGCACCTACTATGCATAAATCACCAGGCTAGGTGCTACAAAGTATGGGCTACACTTGTTTTTGAGGAGCTTGTGATCTGACCACAGGGAAATGTAAACAATTGTGTGTTTTCTGACAATGAATGTATATATAATGCCTTTTCCCCTGACACCAATTCTCTAATGCCAACTGGGCATCCAACATGTCACTTCAATCCTGACATTAACTAATTAGAGGTAGTGCTAGACTCCACAGGTTTGAGGGATGTGACTAAGGGCTCAGTGCCACAAGACTACCCTCACTTTGGGCACCAGTAATATGAGTGCTATGAGTACCCAGGCTACTTGTTATTTATAAGGAGTCCCTTATAAATAAATTTGTTGACTATAAATGTGGGGATTCCACAATCCTCTACTCAGGTTTGATAATATGCTGGAATGACTCACTAAATTCAGGTAAGTGCTTTATTTACTACTGAAGGCCCGATTGCACCGATTTGTGCACCAGTGGGGTGCCTCAGCCTGGCCTGCACCCTCTTGTAATCCAGGAGCCCTCGGGGGATGTCGGACTCCTGGTTTCGGCCCGATTCCCGCAGGCCAGGCCGATGGACCCCACAGGTGCATGAATCCATGCATCATGCACCGGCCTCTAGTATGCATATAAGATCTTTGGTTAATCTCTTCCCACTTCCCCCTGAGATTCATCAGTCTGTTCCATGTTTCCATGCCTGTGCATTGAGCATCTGCACCCGTGGTGGTTTTCCCTCTCCCTCTCCCTCTCAAATCACTAAAAATAAAAATAAAGTAAAAACACAAATGTTCACAGAATAATGAATAAATAAAATGATATATCTATACAATATTATTTGACAATAAAAAACCCCAGTCATGACCTAGCCGGTTTGGCTCAGTGGATAGAGCGTCGGCCTGTGGACTGAAAGGTCCCAGGTTTGATTCCAGTCAAGGGCACATGCCCAGGTTGTGGGCTTGATCCCCGTTGGGGGTGTGTGCAGGAGGCAGCTGATCAATGATTCTCTCATCACTGATGTTTCTATCTCTCTCTCTCCCTCTCCCTTCCCGATTAAAACAAACAAACAAAAAAACACATGCAAAAAAACCAGTCACACATTGTGATTTTATTTATATTAAATGTTCAGAATAGGCAAATCCATAGAGAAAGTAGATTGGTGGTTGCCTAGTGCTGGGTGGACTGGAGGAAAATGGGGAGTGATGGGTAATGGATATGGGTGGTTATGGGGCTTCTTTTTGGCATAACTGACTGGGGTACTGGTTGCATAATTCTGTGAATATACAAAAATCACTGAATTATGTAAAAAAAAAGAAAAAAGAAACCCCATCCCACCATCACTGTATGTTCCAAATCTTAATTTATAATTTTTTTAAAATGAAAAAATGCTCTTGGATATAAAAAACTCTACTTCTAGTTCTTGATGAAACATCTGTATACAAAGGCATAATGTTAATTACAGACACCACTTTCATTTAGACAAAATTTATTGTTCTTAGTTTAGCACCTACTATGCATAAATCACCAGGCTAGGTGCTACAAAGTATGGGCTACACTTGTTTTTGAGGAGCTTGTGATCTGACCACAGGGAAATGTATACAATTGTGTGTTTTCTGACAATGAATGTATATATAATGCCTTTTCCCCTGACACCAATTCTCTAATGCCAACTGGGCATCCAACATGTCACTTCAATCCTGACATTAACTAATTAGAGGTAGTGCTAGACTCCACAGGTTTGAGGGATGTGACTAAGGGCTCAGTGCCACAAGACTACCCTCACTTTGGGCACCAGTAATATGAGTGCTATGAGTACCCAGGCTACTTGTTATTTATAAGGAGTCCCTTATAAATAAATTTGTTGACTATAAATGTGGGGATTCCACAATCCTCTACTCAGGTTTGATAATATGCTGGAATGACTCACTAAATTCAGGTAAGTGCTTTATTTACTACTGAAGGCCCGATTGCACCGATTTGTGCACCAGTGGGGTGCCTCAGCCTGGCCTGCACCCTCTTGTAATCCAGGAGCCCTCGGGGGATGTCGGACTCCTGGTTTCGGCCCGATTCCCGCAGGCCAGGCCGATGGACCCCACAGGTGCATGAATCCATGCATCATGCACCGGCCTCTAGTATGCATATAAGATCTTTGGTTAATCTCTTCCCACTTCCCCCTGAGATTCATCAGTCTGTTCCATGTTTCCATGCCTGTGCATTGAGCGTCTGCACCCGTGGTGGTCAGTGCGCATCATAGCTACCAGTCGAACAGTCAGCCACTTAGCATATTAGGCTTTTATATATATAGATTACTGGTTTACTATAAAGGCTAGAACTCAGAACAAATGGAAGAAATGCATAGGGCAAGGTGAGGAGGGAGGACAGAGCTTCCATGTTGTCTCTGGGTGGCATCAATATGTTCACCAACCTGGAAGTTGATCAGATCAAGAGCTTTTAATAGGCTTTTCCAAGACTTTTTATAGAGCTCAATCCCATATCTGCGGGTTAGTGGAACTGAAAGTTCTAACTCTCTAATCAAGTGTTTGGTCTTTCTGGAGACCAGCCTCATCCTGAAGCTATATCTAGGGGCTCCTTAAGTCACCTCCTTACCCTAAACTAAGGTGTGCCCCAAAGGGACTCCTTATAAATAGCAGTAGACCCCTTTGTAATAATTATGCATGGTGTCAGATGGGTACTAGATTTACCAGGTGATCATTTCTTAAGTCAGTGATTTTCAACTTTATCTCATGGCACACAAACTAACTACTAAAATTTTGCAGCCAACCAAGAAATGTAATTTTTGCTGACCTGACAAAAATTTTTTTGATTCATTAACACTGGATGGCTACTGTTGTATTGTCTTTTTTAATTTAGTTTTTACAATCTAAGGGAAAAGAGGTCAATGCCCCTGACTAAATAGTCAGGTATTGCCTGTTTTAAAAATTCTTGTGGCACACGGGTTGAAAATCACTTTCCTAAGTTATATAAATGTCTAATCAGTGTGTTGTATACCCAAAACTAATACAATGTTATATGTCAACTGTAATTGAAAAAATTTTAAATTATTTTTTAAATATAGCAAGAGACTCCTACCACTCAGGAAATGCTAAGGTTTTTGGGCACTTTGTAACAGAAACTAGAATAGAAACCAAGTATTTCTTTCTTACACCACAATTTTCCTTTTTTTTTTTTTTTTTTTTTCCACAATTCTTACACACACACACACACACACACACACACACACTGAGTAAAGTAACAACCTGGCCTGGAATTAATGGCCTTGAAGGTTATGGAGTTCAATATCCTATAACATTCCCATGGAAACTACTAAAATACCTTTAATTGAGAGATAATCCAAAGGAAGCCCATTTCACCTTCCTGTTAGAATTCAACATTTTATATTAATTTTCTGTGTGTGAGGTGGATTTTCTGTTCACACATGTAACACATCCTTGAAGTATACAAAGAAATCACTAACTCTCTAAATGTACCAACCATATTTTGGCAAACAGACTTCTAAATAAATACCTACAAGTATTTAAACAGAAGACCAGATACACATAATTTAAAAATGAGATTCCACCATGCTGTTCTGCAACCTGCTTTTTCTCTACTAATAGCACTGTAATGAGTATCTTACAAAGCTAAGCACACTTCTTTGATACATACTATTCCAAAGTATGTTTGTAGTATATCATTTGTTAATCTCATAGGCCACAAACACTCTCATCAATAAGTGCAATTCTTTAGGAAAGGTTTATATTTTTTAATACAGTTTTTAAAACTATGTTTTATTGATTTGAGAGAGAGAGAGAGAGAGAGAGAGATAGAAACATCAATGCATGTGCCCTGACTGGGAATCGAACCAGCAACCTCTTGGTACATGGGTTAACGCTGAACCACTGATCCACACCGGCCAGACTATAGTAAAGTTTTAAAACATTTTTCCTCATGTTGAGCCAAAAACTTTCCCCTGGAGTTTATTCTTGGCTCTAGATCTATCCTGAGAAACCAAAAGTTTCTTTGGATTTATTTTCATTATTCAGGGTATAATCACTGAAAAGCCATACAATTGTTTTTGTTTTTTTAAAAAATTGTAGTAAACACAAACATAAAATTTACCATACTATCACTATCACCCATCTCTAGAATATATGTTTTATTGCATTGCTATATATTAGAGATTACAGTTTTCTCCATTAAATTTCAAGCACTCTAAAAATGACATTGTGGTAGAAACTGTGCTAGGCATGTTCACAGATCATTTCAAGGGAATAACCTTTCCTAGATATTCAATTGCTAGCCAAGAGGGAGAAACAAGAGGCAAGCCAACAAATAGGAGGTTACTTTAATAGTCCAGCAAGTGGTAATGAGAACCTGAGCAAAAAACTAGGGCAGTGATGGCGAACCTTTTGAGCTCGGCGTGTCAGCATTTTGAAAAACCCTAACTTAACTCTAGTGCCGTGTCACATATAGAAATTTTTTGATATTTGCAACCATAGTAAAACAAAGACTTATATTTTTGATATTTATTTTATATATTTAAATGCCATTTAACAAAGAAAAATCAACCAAAGAAATGAGTTCACGTGTCACCTCTGACACGGGTGACATAGGTTCGCCATCACTGAACTAGGGTGTGGAATAGACAGGAAAGTTGGGAATGGATGTATTTGTAAGACGAGTATAGATTGGAGAAACATTGCAGAGCTAGACAACATAAAGTCTGATAAGTGAACTAGACCTAAAGGTGAATATATAGTGGAGGAGAACTTCAATTTTCAAGTGTGGTGAGATGGGGAAATACTAAAGCCATATGGAAAACAGCCAAGTCAGAAGGAAAGGGGAGTAGGGAGAATGGGGAAAGAAGCAAAGCCCAGTTTAGTTGAGTCTTAGATACCAGTGAGATAACCAGATGAAGATAAAGAGCAGGAAGTTGAAAATGATATGATAATGTACGGACAAGCACTAAAATCACACAAAGGAGCACACTGAACAGAAATGCCAGTTGTATTCATTAAGTATAGAAATATGAAGTGATAGTCTACCTCCTTTATTTAACCTCCCCAAAATGACTAAATACTCACCATCTGCCACACTTGCATGATATTGTCTTCTGACACAGAACAGATCACCCAAGGTTCATTGGGATTCCAAGAGAAATCAGATATCTTGGCAGTGTGACCACCATGAATAAACTGAAGAAGAGAGGAAAACAGATATAAAAAGCAGATAGAGGATATTAAATTACAGATTACTTCAATTGCTCAATGTTTGTACATACCAACAACTCCGGTGGCCCATCTTCTGCATCTTCGGGGGATTGTTCCTCTCCAATTTTACTAGCACAAAAAGATTTTCAAAAGTTAAAACAGATTTTTCCTAACTAATTTTGGAAAGTATAAATAAAAGAAAATAATTCCACAAAAAAGTAACTAATACAAGACTTACCTTAAATCCCAGACATTCAGTCTGCGATCAGTACCACTGGAAGCCAAAATAGTCTCATTGTGAGGTGACCACTGAACCTACAGAGAAGAACAAAGGAAACAGAAGTTTTCAACTACAAAATTGAGTGAAAAGCACCTAAAATTATATTTAACAATTCAAATTTTTATACATAAAAAGAGAATTCCAAGTATTTTTAAAAAATTGATTTATACAGAGAGAGAGGTGAAGGGGGTGAGAGGGAGAAACGGAGGGTGTGAGAGACAGAGACAGAGAGAGAGAGAGAGAGAGAAAGAGATTTGATGTTGCACTTAATTATGCATTCACTGGTTCCTTTTTGTATGTGCCTTGACTGGAGATCGAGCTTGCAACCTTGGCATATTGGGATGATGCTCTAACCAACTGAAAATTACCTTGCCAGGGCCTCCAAGTATTTTAGACATAAAGTTAAAACTGACAAACAAGATCATTTTTGGTATGAAAATAACCCATTATTAGACCTAGGATATCAGCTTTTACTCTATTTGATCTTATATTTTTGAAGACCTTTTTATTTATTCTGGCCTCTAGCCAAATGTAATCAAATTCTGACCTAAGAACTATAGTACAGGTCACACAATTTCCCAAGTACTTATTATGAATTCAGTGCTATACATAACATTAAAAATGACTCATTACAATTATTTTATTAAAATAAAGTTAGCTACTACATAGACAACTCATACTTGTGAAAACTGTTTGGTAAGCCCTAGCTGGTTTGGCTCAGTTGATAGAGTGAAGGGTCCCGGGTTCCATTCTGGTCAAGGGCACGTACCTTGGTTGTAGGTCCTTGGCCCTGGTCAGGATGTGTGCAGGAGGCAACCAATCAATGTGTCTCTCTTACATTGATGCTTCTTTCTGTCTCTCCCTCTACAACTCTCAAAATCAATGGAAAAATATCCTCAGGTGAGGATTAAAAAAATGAAATAAAATTATCAATCTATCTATCTATCTATCTATCTATCTATCTATCTATCTATCTAAAAGGCTAATATAATATGTAAACTGTCCCCTTGGGAGTTTGACCAAGGGTTCGATTGCTTGCTATGATGTGCGCCAACCACCAGGGGGCGGCACAGAATGAAGGTAGGTCCCGGCCTGCAGCCAGGAGGCCACAATTGGCCCTGATCGCCAGCCAGGCCTAGGGACCCTACCCGTGCATAAATTTCATGCCCGGGCCTCTAGTAATTAATCAATCAATCAATCAATCAATCAATCTATCTATCTAAAAGCCTAAGTGACTGTTACAGTGGAACGACCAGAACAACCCGTTGCTATGAAATGCACTGACCACCCCGATTGCATGATCAGGCAGGCCGGCCGGCCAACCTCCCTGTCCTTTCCCCTGGCCAGCAGGTGCCAATTGCCTGCCCGATGGGGAATGGGTGGCGGTGGACGCAGGTGGCGCCAAGGTGGGTGCAGGTGGGGAGCGGGGCCAGCTGCTGGGGGAAGGCCCAGGCTGGCCAACCTTCTGGTCCCTGAAGGCTTTTGAAAAACCTCTCTGGGGAGGCTTTTCTTTTCCCCCCAGCAGCGCACAATTCAAAGGTGCTAGTCGCAGAGCCGCCTGCCACGGAGTCGCTCAATCTCTCCCCACCCAGTCAGATTGAGTCTAGTGTGGGAGGGTGGACCACCCTGAGCCGCTGCCTGAAGGCAGGAAGCTGGCAGGGGTCAGGCATGAACACAGAGGCCTTGGAGCTGGACCACCCGACCCCCAGCGTGCTCTCTGCCTGGAGGCGTCCAGCTGCAGACCTCCGACCCCATTAACTCGATCAGTGGTGGGGTAGAAAGTGACCTGGGAGGGTGAAGTAATAAAACTTGGGGGAAGTACCACTGGTGCAGTCCCTGCGACCTTCTCCTCCCAGGATAATGCTGCACTCCCTAACCTCCCATGAGCCAACATAAATGTGGATTCACAAACAGGCAGGCCCCTGAGGAGCTTCAGCTGGGGGACGAGAGGAGTTACTTCTGACACCTCCACCCTTTGCTTTAAGGCTGTATTCGCCTTCTCTAATACATGTTGCTTGAAGTACATGATGGTTTGTGTTTAGACATACAATAAACATGGGGAAAACAAAGTTTTGTGCTTTAGAACAAAAGAGTCTGGAATCTTTGATGGGGGGTTTCTCTCTCTCTCTCTCTCTCCCCTTCCTCCCCTCTTCCCTGCCCTGGCAAACCTTCACGCAGAAAGTTAACCCTAGCTCCTCAGAAGGCACCCTCGCTGGAGTGGCCTCTGTTTTGTTTTTTTTTCTAATCTCTAAACCGGCAGTTGGACATCCCCTGAGGGGTCCCAGATTGTGAGAGGTCACAGGCTGGGCTAAAGGACATCCCCCTACCCCCCGCCCTATGCACAAATTTCGTGCATCAGGCCACTCTTCTCTGTTTGGTAAGGAAGTCCTAGCTTCATGGTATAGACAAGAGGGCATTAGCAACCAGTATTTAAGGAAGAATTTGGATACCCTCCAGGCAATACCACCATTATAAGCAAGGACAAAGAGATAGGGTGAGGCCCTAGCAGGTTTGCCTCAGTGGATAGAGCATTGGCCTGCGGACTAAAGGGTCCCAGGTTCGATTCTGGTCAAGAGCACATGCCCAGGTTGCCGGCTCCATCCCGTGGGCAGTGTGCAGAAGGTAGCCAATCAATGATTCTCTCTCATCATTGATGTTTCAATCTCTCCCTCTCCTTTCCTCTCTGAAATCAATAAACATGTATATTAAAAAGAGAGAGAGAAAAGACAAAATGTTCCTTGGAGCAAACTGAAGAGTAGAAAATAAGGTTGAGACTAAGTGTGTTAAGAATATGAGCCAAGTTTGGATGCCACATTCACACACCAAAATTAATTCTGAGGACTCTCAGGGTCTTAACACTTGACAAAACAATGTGTTTCTTTTCTAAAATGTATTTTTTTTTATTGATTTTAGAGAGGGGAAGAGGGAGAGATAGAGAAACATCAATGTGCAATAGAAACACAGACTGGCTGCCTCACTTAGGCCCTCTACTGGGGATCAAATCCAAAACCTGGGCATGTGCCCTGACTGGGACTTGAACCTGCCACCTTCTGGTGCATGGGACTATGTTCCACCAACTGAGCCATACCAGCCAGGGCCAATGTTTTACTATAGTGATACAAAATGGGCCTTTCCTCACTATAACATTTTAAATTCTTTGGAAGCAAAGACTGTAACATTTCTCACAGTACCCTTACAATAAGCTTTCAATATAATGATTATTTCTTGAATTGGGCTAGAGAGTTTTGCATGCCAAGAAAGGAGCTTAGCCCCAGCAAGTTTGGCTCTGTGGTTAGAGCGTCAGCCTGAGAACTGAAGAGTGTCAGGTTTGATTCCGGTCAAGGGCACATACCTCTGTTACAGGTTCAATCTCCGAGGCCCAGCCTGGGCACACGTGGGAGGCAACTAATCGATGTGTCTTTTTCACATCGATGTTTCTCTCTCCCTGTCTCTCCCCATCCTTTCTACACTCTCTAGAAATCAACAGAAAACATACCCTTGGGTTAGGATTAAAAAAAAAAAAAAAGAAAAGAAAAAGAAAAAAAGAAAGGAGCTTTAGCCCTGCCAGTGTGGCTCAGTTGGCTGAGCAATGCCCTGTGCACCAAAAGGTTGCCTGTTCGATTCCCAGTCATTGGAGGCAACCCAGCAATGTGCAATGTTTCTCTTTTTCTCTCTAAAAATACATTTAAAAAAGAAAGAAAAAAAGCTCAAGCTGAAGCAGAAAATATGGAGCCAGTATAGAATAGAGGAAAAACAACCCCAATTCCTAGAGATTAGCATAGGCACACAAAACATTTCTACTAATATAGCAATGGAATAAACCATGCCTAGTTGTACATCAAGGTCTTCTGCTTAAAAAAAATTATAGCCTTGCCCTAGCTGGTTTGGCTCAGTGGATAGAGCGTTGGCTTGCGGACTGAAGATCCTGGGTTTGATTCCGGTCAAGGGCACATGCCCGAGTTGCAGGCTCGATCCCCAGCAAGGGGTGTGCAGGAGGCAGCCGATAAATGATTCGCTCTCATCATTGATGTTTCTATCTCTCCCTTTTCCTTCCTCCCTGAAATCAATAAATTAAAAATAGAAATAGAAATAAAATATTATAGTCTTAACTGCTGCTGCTTTAAAAAAAAATCCTCACGAAGCTATTTTTTCCAGTTTTTTTTTTTTTTTTTTTTAAAGAGAGAATGGGAGGGAGAGGGGGAGAAAGAGAGAAATATCATTGTGAGAGAGACAAATCGACTGATTGCCTCCCGCTCACACCACAACCAGGGATCTAACCTGCAACTGAGATATGTGACCTTGGGCAGGAATCGAACCAGCGATCCTTTGGTTGGTGGGCCAAAGCTGTAAACCATCAGGGCAGCTTTAGCTTCTCTTACCTGGAATATTTCATCCTTATGTGATTCAAAGGAATGCAACTTAAGTTTCAGATTTCTCAGATCCCACAAGGCAACAGTCTATGTAAAGAATGGAAATAAAGACTAATCAATAATTTTTTATGAGAAAAAAAAAGAAAACCCCTAAGTAAAAGATCTCTGCATTCAAAAGAAGCCAGAGAAATTCACCCTGTTTTCTTTTAAAATAAACCAAACTAACCTTATCAGCTGATCCTGTGGCAAGAATGAATTCACTATAAGGATTAAAAGAAAGGCAGTTCACTTCAGCAGTGTGAGCATCAACTGAGTGGCTTGGTTTGGAAGTATTGTTTGAACGAGTATCCCAGCTTTAGTACAAAAAACAACAACAAAAAACAGGAAAAAAGGTTGAAAATGGGCAACTAAATATAAAACTTAATTTATGAAGAAAAACTTAAAAAATGGATTCTACTCACATCATAAGTTTCTGATCATCAGCAACGGACCCAAACAGAGACTCATGGAGCAGATGCCAGGAAACATCTTCTACTACTGCTGTATGCCCTGTAAAGATGGTCTTCGCATCCACAACTTTTCCTTCCTTTGGAACAGCACTGATGTCCCATAGGCAGATGGTCTTAAATGCAAAATTAACTATTATAGAAAAGGAAGATTCTCACTTCCCCACATACCCCAGAAAAGAAACTGGTAACAAGCCCAGATTTGTTTCAAAATGGAAAGGATACACACATGGTCATCTGAAGCACTAAGTAAATGCCCACTCAGATTTGGGTTCCAAGAAAGCCCATAGCCTTCCTTCTGATGTCCACGGAGACGCAAGTCTGGGTTGCACTCTCCAGAAGGATCTGCAAAGTAAGACACATCAAGACTATCCATCTCACTGCCTCTATGGATCTACTGAGCATAATGAAATTCTTATCAAGAAGTCTAAAGCTCTTGCCCAGCCAGCTTGGCTCATTGATTGAGCATCGACCTATGAACCAGCAGTTCATGGTTTGATTCCCAAGCAGAGCACATGACCAGGTTGCCGGCTTGATCCCGTGTGGGCTGTGCAGGAGGCAACTGATCAATGATTCTCTTTCATCACTGATGTTTCTATCTCTCTCTCCCTCTCCCTCTCCCTTCCCCTCTGAAATCAATATTTTTTTTTAAAAAAGAGCTCTAAAGCTCTTAATATTTATAAGCAATACAGACCTATTATGACCAAATATACAATGCTTAAACTGCACCATCATTCTGTTCTACGTAAAGAAGCATTTTTTTCACTTAAAGTTGAAGACTATCCACACATCTCAATATAAATGACAAGATATTAAGTTATGCAAGGAATAACAAAAGCAACTAAAAGACTGAGTGGAGCAATGTATTCCCATAGTGACATTTGTATTTGAATTGAAGAGAGCAGGTACCTGGTTTAGAAGGATGTTTTGTATAGTCAAAAACAAGAACATCACTGGATGGAGTCTTTGTTGCAATGATGCATGGGTTCTGTGGCATATAACGTGCCCGGTTTACTTCTCCTTCATGGTTGATCTTAATTTCTATTTCAATTTTTCCACTAACAGAGCCAAAACCTCCAAATTCTGTAAATAAGAAATTAATTGCAAATGAAGACAAAACAAGAGCTACTCTCTATATATCATTCAAAGCATTACACAGACAAGACTTTTTATCAGCAAGTTGGCATAATACCAGAAGTAATCTAGACATTTGTTAGCACCATAAAGTGCTTTCACATCCTTTATTTTGTTTGATTACCACAACCCTACAGAGTTACTATCTTCTGGGCCCCGAAGATAGTTATTATCTCCAAAAATTTTACACATAAGGGTGACATGACTATGGCAGAACATAAACTGAATTCCTATTTTTCTGATTCTGAGCCTAGTACACTTTCAGCCCTCGTAGTTATGTACCTAATAAGAGTATTATATTACTATCTAAAATTAAGAAATAGCCCAGCTGTTGTGGCTCAGTGGTTGAGTATCAACCTATGAAATTGGGGGTCATGGTTCAATTCCCAATCAGGGCACATGCCTGGGTTGCAGGTCTATCCCCAGTAGGAGGTGTGCAGGAGGCAGACTGATCAATGTCTCTCCAATATCTCTCCCATCATTGATGTTTCTATCTCTCTCTCCCTGTGCCTTCCTCTCTGAAATAAATAAAAAAATATGTATTTTAAAAAATAAATAAAATTAAGGAACACTATGGACTCCACTTCAAAAGTAGTTTCTCAATAAGCAGTTTTCAAATCTCATTTAAAGTACCAAAAAAGTGTGCTGAGTAAATAAAACCCAAGTTGCTATTTTAATGAATATGAAGTACACAATGTGCTTGGTACTAAAGAGTTCCTCTTATACTATTTTTAAAGCTCCAGTTTGGGGTAATCTTTCTGAAATATCACACCGTATCTTCTTCCTACACAGTTTCTCTTAGTCCCAGTGAGGAAAAACAGAGCCACAAGAGCTCTTTCATTTTTCCAATCCCCCACTTATACTTGGCAACCATAGTCCCTGGTTGAAATAAACCAGGTAGGCAAGGACTAGACAAAAGCGTTTTTAAAATTCATATTTGACTATTGCATGCCCTTAGAGTTCTCCTAAGTACCATTATAAAATGTAAAACACAACATTATTTGTGATTATGTAAATCTTGGCAAACATAATATAAATAAAGGTAGTCAATGATTAGTCTAAAGAATTATACAAGACAGCATGATAAGGTACCTAAGAGTCACACCTTAGCCTAAATGACTCTGCCCCTTACTAGCTTGGTGTTTTGGGGAAGGCCTTCAATTTCTAAGCCCCAAATACCTTATCCAAAAAGCAAGTTCTGGGAGTAAATGAAAATGCTATCAACAGCACTGTTATACAAGTATTATACTTTGAAGGATAAAAATCTTTTCAAAAAGCAAAGACATAGATGAGTAATATGGCTAGCAGTTTAGATAACTTTCAACTTTAAAATAACTTTTACAAGTTGAAAACCAAAATTTTCAAAGAAGTTAAAAACCTAAAAATAAAAGTTCAAAATAGACTCTAAAAGAGAAAAACCCACATTAAGCAAGTTTTTTTAAAGACCTCTAGACCATGGAGCACCTACAATTTAAAAATAGAAGGCATATGATGCATGATGTCAAGGAACTTTTAGTCCAAACATGGGGACATAGCCCTAGCTGGATAGAGCAGTGGTTGCCAATTGGTGGTCCACAGACCACTGGTGGTCCGTGAGGTCTGAAAGGTTGGCAACCACTGGGATAGAGCATCAGCTTTATCAAACCCAAAGGGTCCTGGGTTTGATTCCAGTTAAGGGCACGGAACTTGGTTGCAGGCTCTTCCCTGGCCCGGGCCCGGGTCTGGGTCAGGGCTGGTGCGGGAAGCAGCCATTCGTTGCAGGCTCTTCCCTGGCCCGGGCCCGGGTCTGGGTCTGGGTCAGGGCTGGTGCGGGAAGCAGCCATTCGATGTTTTTCTCTCACACCGGTGTTTCTCTCTTGTCTTTCCCTCTCTCTTCCACTCTCTCTAAAAGTCAATGGAAAAATATCCTCAGGTGAGGATTAACAAAACACACACACACACCAAAACAAACAAACACGGGGACATAACTATAGATGAAAAAAGCTTAACAGTCAGAAAAAAGATACCAATAACAAGGGAAGAGCAATAACTGGCATGGAGCCCACAGAGCAGTAAATAATTGTTACAAAATATGGGTTATTTCAGTACTGGGTATATACTGAACAGAGGGCTTCCCTAACTGTAAGAAATCAGCATAGCCCTAGTCGTTTGCTCAGTGGTTAAAGCGTCAGCCCTCAGAGTGAGGGTCACGGGTTCGATTTAAGACTAGGGCATGTAGCTGGGTTGTAGGCTCGATCCTCAGCCCTAGTTGGGGAGCGTGCAGGAGGCAACCAACTGATGTGTCTCTCTCATATCAATATTTCTCCCTCTCCCCTCCACTTTTTAAAAATCAATGAAAAAAATATCCTCAGGTGAGGATTAATAACAACAAAATCAGCATAGAGGATTTATAATTGAGGTTTTATAAAGATGAGGACGTATCTATTAAAAAATAATTAGAATATGTGGAACATAATGAACAAAATAAACTGATGAACAAAATAGATCCAGAAACATAGAAGCACAGAACAGACTGTGGAATCTGAGAGAGAAGGTAGGGGAGGGAGAAATGGGTGGGAAGAGATCAACCAAAGAAGTTGTATGCATTTATGCATAACCCATGGACATAGACAATAGGGTGTAAAGGCCTAGGGTGAGGGGGCGGGGCGTGCTACAATGGGTCAATGAGGGGGGAAAAGGGGGATTTCCAATAATAAAAATAATAATTAGAAGTTCTATAAGTTGAAGCTTATCTGTCAAAGGCCAAACTTGAAGTAGAAAGACTGTGGTACTAATGTAGTCATGGGTCACTTAACAACTGGGAAACATTCTAATAAATGTGTTAGGTAACTTTATCATTGTGTGAACATCATAGAGTGCACTTACACAACCCTAGAATCTCTAGCCTACTACACACCTAGGCTAGTTATATGGTATAGCCTACTGCTCCTAGGCTACAAACCTGTACTTATAGCATGTCACTGTACTGAACACCGCAGGCAACTGTAACACAATAGTAAGTACTTGTGTATCTAAACATAGAAAAGATACAGTAAAAATACAGTATAAAGGATAAAAAATGGTACACCCAAATGAGGCATTTATCATAAACCGAACTTGCAGGACTGGAAGTTGCTCTGTGTGAGCTGGTGAGTGAATGCCTAGGATATTACTGTACACTACCACAGACCTTACAACCCAGCCCACGAGATCTCCCCTGGCTTTCTTCTGACAGGGTCAGAAACAGAACATCAAAGCTGTCAATGCTGCTCTGTGAACAGGGATGTGGGCTGGATTGGAAATACAGAGGAGAAACTGGCTAGGTAAAGTGTAGCTGACCATTAACAGTGACTATCAGGAGGCCTAAAGATTAGCAGGAATAAAAAAATCAAGATGGAGAGATAAAAGAACACTGAGAATTGTCTTGGCAATGTGGTTTTTGGCTCTTGCATAAACAGTGGTTAGATTAAGAAACTTTGTGGTACTCATAAAAAGTGTTTAATATGGAGAGAATGTAGAACTACAGACTCAATTTTATTTATCTTCACTTGAGGATATGTTTCTTTTTTTTAAGTCTTTAAAATATATACATATTTTTATTGATTTCAGAGAGGAAGGGAGAGAGAGAGAGAGACATCAATGATGAGAGAGAATCATTGATTGGCTGGCTCCTGCATGCCCGCACCCCCCGCCCCACTGGGGATGGAGCCACAACCCGGGCCTGTGCCCTTGACCAGAATCGAATCCCAGACCCTTCAGTCCGCAGGCCCATGCTCTTTACATTAAGCCAAACCAGCTAGGGCCTCTCGTGGATATGTTTCTATTGATTTTTAGAGAGAGAGAAGGATGGGAGAGAAGGGACAATGAGGAGGAGGAGAGACATAAACACAGAGAGACAGAGACATTGATATAAGAGAGAAACATCGATCGGTTGTCTCCCATATGTGCCCTGACCTGGAACAGGGATCGAACCCCAACCTTTTTTGGTGTATAGAACGACACTCCAACCAATTGACCCACTGGGCCAGGGCTCAATATTTTGACTTTGGAAATTTGTTTTTGGTTTTATTAAACTTATCTGGCACAAAGGGCTCGCTCTGGCATTAAATTGATGATGAAATAAAGCTTACCACAACTTGAAAATATTTCCAAAGTACAGGGACCGGATGGCTTCATACTACCACAGGAAGCTTTTACTAAAGTGGCAGTGGCACTTAATACTTGTTAAGGTAGATCCTGTGGACCTGTGTGCTTGTACAGGATCTTAGGTCCTCAACAAAGAATGTACAGCAATGTACTCTGAAGACCATTCAAGCTAGAACTGGAAGGGAGATAAGTGTCCTCTGAATATATAGCGCTGGGAGGACAGCCTCTTCTGTGCCGCAACCGTCAGTGGCTGACTGATTGGGATGTAATCTGCATACTCAAAATTGAGGTGCTGTGAGAGGGAATCTACTGCCAACCCACACAGATATTGTACCTATCACAGAGGAAAAAATTCCTCCTAAACCATATATCCTTCCATTTCTTCAAGGAAATTCAACTCCATTATAATCTTACTAGAGGCCCGGTGTACAAAAATTTGTGCACTGGGGGGCGGGGGAGGGAGGGGGGGTCCCTCAGCCCGGCCTGTGCCCTCTCGCAGTCTGGGACCCCTCGGGAGATAATGACCTGCTGGCTTAGGCCTGCTCCCGGGTGGCAGAGGGCACGCCCAATCCCTA